CGTAGTATGAGAAACATCCCCATATCATGATGCTTGCACCACCATGCTTCACTGTCTTCACAGTGTACTGTGGCTTGAATTCAGTGTTTGGGGGTCGTCTGACAAACTGTCTCTGGCCACTAGACCCAAAAAGAACAATCTTACTTTCATCCATCCACAAAATGTTGCGCCATTTCTCTTTAGGCCAGTCAATGTGCTCTTTGGCAAATTGTAACCTCTTCAGCACGTCTTTTCTTCAACAGTGGGACTTTGAGGGGGCTTCTTGCAGATAGCTTGGCTTCACATAGGCGTCTTCTAATTGTAACAGTACTTACAGGTAACTTTACACCTTTTTTCATCTTCCTTGAGCTGATTGTTGGCTGAGTGAGTCCTTGCCATTTTGGCTATTCTTCTATCCATTAGAATGGTAGTTTTTCGCTTTCTTCCATGTCTTTCAGGTTTTGGTTGCCATTTTAAAGCATTTGCGATCATTTTAGCTGAGCAGCCTATCATTTTCTGCACTTCTTTATATGTTTTCCCCTCTCCAATCAACTTTTTAATCAAGGTATGCTGTTCTTCTGAACAATGTCTGGAACGACCCATTTTCCTCACAATTTCAGAGAGAAATGCACTGTAACCAGCATGTACAACATTTGCTGCCTTCCTTCCTTAAATAAGGGCAATAATTGCCACCTGTTTTTCAAAGAATGAATGACCTCACTAATAGAACTCCACACTGCTATTATTTTGAACACGCCCCTTTCAATTAGTGATTCAATGACACAGAGTCAGCAGCATGCATTTCATGACTGTTGGATTTCTATTACTCTACTACACCTGCTAGTAAATTATTTGCCATGTAGAAATATCATTTCTACCAAAAACAGTGATTGATCAGGTTAGTGATGTCTGACTGCTATTATTTTGAACACAACTGTATGTGGTCTCCACGCCCTGCTATTGTATTCATCTAGAAGAATTAAAAATTTTAATGGGTGATTTAGTTATGCTAATTTTAATATTAGCAACACTCCTAACTTTGGAAGCAAAATTATCAGAGGGTCATATTTAGAGATTTAACTGCTCAGGATTAGAAATAATAGACAAGTTTATTATGAGAAATTAGTCCTTGCGTGCCAGTCAGTGAATTTGGGACTGGGATGATGGCATCAATCTGCTGCTGGCAGAAGGAATCATTTTCTCAGTCTACTTCCCCCCAGGTTTCAGACTGCAACATTGTAGTCCAGTAAGCAGAATGTCACGCTGCATGATGCCTGCACAAGATGGTTCCTCCTCATGGACAGAAAAGATGAAGGCTTTTTAAGGGGGTACTACTGTTATCTTTGTGAGACTTAAAAGTATGGCCAAAGCTTTTTTGGCCATACTTCTTTTCTGTATCACAGGAGTGCACTTACTTTGCTGCGTGCTGCTGAAAGGCTGAGCCAGCTGCTCCTGCCCCCTCAAGCCTAGCGTTCTAGTAGTCGTTGAACAGACAGAGCAGAGAGCGGTGACTGGCGGTCACTGCTCTCAGATCCAGGAAGACTGAGAGCTGAGCAATCAGCAGTCATGTAATTGCTCAGTTCTCAAGCTCAGGGCTGCTTGGGGGCAGCTGGCTCAGGCTCACATCAATGCTGCACATGGATGCAAGTATGTATGTATGTTTTTTTTAATTGCAAACCTCTCCCCCTTAATAAATCCCCAAAAGTCACACAATTATGGGTTGCCACACTTAGCATGGAAACATATCTGATGCTAGGCCTACTTTGTTTCCTGCTAAGTGATAAGCCTGTGTCCACCCTGAGACATTATAGGGAGCAAGTGTAGGTGCACACAGAATGTAAAATTCTGTAAATATAGATTGGACGTAAAAGCACAGAGATAAAAACAGTAAACTTTTTTTTTTTTCCCGAAAATATAATGCTAGTATACAGCTATTGCAGACCAAAATATGGCTCCGCGCAATTCTTTAATCCGTAAACCCTAACAAAATGACATCAGGTTTACTGAAGCAGTCTTTATTATAAACAATTGCATTTTGTTCATTCTTTGTTGCATATCAGCACTGCTGGTTTCATACTACCTGTTTACAACCACTTCATGTCTTCATGTTCTTCGGTAACTGCTGTGCATAATTTTTCAGGGCATGTTTCTTGATGGTGAAACATGTCCACATAATGTGCATCAGCATGGCCACTTCTATTCTCTGATGTAGTCTCCAGAAAGGGTGTCCCAGGGTGACAACGCAGGACCGCAGTTGGGAGACAGGGACAAAGTGTTTTCACTCCATAACAGAAAGTACCTGAAAAAGGACCTTCAGGGCAGGATCACCAGGTATTATTTTAAATGAAAGCTGCAAATGTAAAAATATTAAAATTGACTTTTACAATAACATATAAAAACTTTTTGGGTGATTGGGTTCAGATCTACTTTAAATCCTAATTCATACTGAAGAAATCGATGATCAGTCACATGATTTCACTCTGATGATACTCATTTTTCCTTAAATTGTTTAATTTAAAGATAAACATCAATCAACAAGGATATTAGGAGGAAGGAAAACAAACCCTTTTGCAGACTTTATTTTGTGTGCGTAGTCTGTCTAGCTGTAACATTGACATAGTACGTCTCTAGATCAACACATCAAACAGGCTGCAATCTTTGTTGAAAATAATTGCACATGGCGTAGTCGACAGGCTCGGCCAAAGGGAGTCCAGTAGGTCCAGGCTCGCATAAATCAGATTTTTGGGAAGCGGCACAAAGCAGCCACATGTCTATATGGCATGCCCAATTAGCCTAGAATAAGTTGGCCGGTTGCTGTATCTATCCACATGTACAACCTGCTTCAGTGAAAATGATCCCAGTGATTATCTCTTCAGTACCCAAACCCTTCTTCCTGCTTTGCTGTTAGTGCCCACAGTGCACCACCAGGACACAGAGGCAGACAATGCCGCCATTGGCTTTCTGACAGCTTAATTATACAATGCCGCCTTTTCTCCATTGACTAGAGTGATGGGTGTATGATTCAGTGCAACCTCCCACTTCACTGCAATGGGACGTGGGACAAGGTTGAAATGCCTCTAGATTACACAGCATATTGTCTTCATCCAAACCATGAACATATCAAAGGGGAACGTGCTTTATCTGCTATCCACATTGCTTCGAGTAGATTTTTATGCATCCTTGTTGAAAATTATATTTATAATAAAGTATCAGGAGCTATACAGGGTAAAGTAGATGTAAACCCTAACTGTATTATATTTAGTTTGCTAAAGTACTGTGTACCATAAACAGTTGCAAGCTTTTTTTTTTTTTTTTTTTTTTAAATACTTGTTTTCACCACTTTTCTTCCTTTCTTGCAACTCAGTGATGCTGATCTCTTTGAGCCTCTTTGCAGCAATTTTCTGTCTACATGCACTCTGACAATGGCTACAGGGGTGCAGGGGTGGACTGACAACTCATGGGACCCCCGGGCAATTGGGGATCATGGGGCCCCTGTGCCCTTGCCCACACTCAAAACACACCCCCAAAAAAGCTTATAATTCACCTGTAGGGAATTATAAAGCAACATATAGATAAGGTTCCTTTCAATGTAGCCAGAGACAGCTACATAATGTTGTGGGGGCCCCATTTATGTCTGTAAATACATGCACTTCAATTTAATAAAAAATAAAACAGATTTTAATTAGGTCCATCTGCTGGTCAGCAAAACTATAGCTCTATGCAGGGGCGGACTGACAACTCAAGGGGCCCCCGGGCAATAGGGGATCATGGGGCCCCTGTGTCCTTGCCCAAACTCAAAAAAGCCTATGAAAAAGGTACCAGGGGCATTTTATGGGGCCCCTACTGACCCCGGGCCTTCGGGCAGTGCCCTAGTGCTCGAATGGTCAGTCCACCCCTGCAAGGGTGTATCGTATCTCTGCAGGAGACCACTGCTTCCACTCGGGACAGGCTTTTCTACTTCGTTTTGGCTGCTTTCTAAAAAAAGTTAAACTGTAAAACTTTGCATTCTCCATGTTTTGATGTACTTGGAAGGCATTAAATGATTGAAACAGAAAATGTATTTGGTGTCTAAATATTTTTGTAACTGGAACTTTAGTTCCACTTTAAGGGCCAGTTCACACTACAAAAACACACTCTGGATGCATTTCAGATACGTTTCTGCTTACAGTTCACACCACACGCAGTTCCGGTGCAGTTTTGATGCAGTTTGCTATGTTTTAGTATGGTTCTGTGCAGAAAAAATGCCGCATGCTCTACTTTTTTTTCTGCATTGGAAACTGACTAGAACTGACTGCACTGGTGTGAACTAGGGCCTTCGGCATACATGGAAAACACCTTGCATGCATTTTTGATGCAGAAAAAAAGCACACTGGACTGCATCTAGTGTGAACTAGAGACAAATGTAAAGAAAACATGTATGTAGTAGGTTCAGTTGCTGTTCAATTAAGCTTTGAAAGTGAAAGATGGAAGCTGATTGGTTCCCATGCTGGGCTGCTCCAGATTCTGGCTGCTGCAGTTTTGATCAATTCTCCCATATGTGTCCTTTTTTTAAGTTTTTGCTTTTTTTCATGTCAGTGCTGCTAATCTCCCGCAGTTTCCTTGGAGCCACTTCCTAAGTGCACTCAAGCAATAGTCATGCATTATTTCTCAGGGTGGCTTTTCTGACAGCAGTGAACCATGCCTGTGTAATATGTGTCAGCACATCCCCTAGTGTTGATTGGGAGAGTATGTGGTGGGGTATCAAAGCAAAAGCAGAATTTGAAACCAGGGACAGAACATTATGACCTGTAACAGGAAATATCTGGACAAAGACTTTCATAGCAAAGCTGCATATTAACCACTTGCCGACCGCAGATAGCTGAATGATGGCTACACTGCGGCCGGCCAGTTCTGGGAGGGCGTCATATGACGTCCTCCCAGAACGCGCTCTCCTGCGCTCCCCTGGTGATCTCCGTGATCGCTGTGTCCTACGGACACAGCTGATCACGTGATGTGATAAAAGGCCAATCACAGCGGCCTTTTACCACGTGATCAGCTGCGTCCAGTGACACGCTGATCACCAGGAAATGCAATTGCCGGTTCTCGGATGCACTTTCCTCACACTGTCAGAGCGTGAGGAAAGTACTGCCGAGAACCAGCAGTTGTCAGAGCACGGATCGGCACCGATCATCAGTGCACTGATGATCGGTGCCCAGCAGTGCCACCCACCAGTTCCGCCCACCTGTGCCCAGCAGTGCACCCACCTGTGCTACCCAGCAGTGCCACACACCTGTGCTCAAAAGTGCCACCTACCTGTGCCCAGCAGTGCCACCCACCTGTGCCCATCAGTGCTGCCAGTCAGTGCCACCAGTCAGTGCCCAGCAGTTTCGCCAGTCAATGCCACCTATCAGTGCTGTCTATCAGTGCCACCTATCAGTGCTGCCTATCCATGACACCTCTTTAGTGCTGTCAATAAGTTCCGCCTCATCCGTGCCACCTCATTAGTGCTGCCTATCAGTGCCGTCTATCAGTGCTGCCTATCAGTGCCCATCAGTGCTGCCTATCAGTGCCCATCAGTGCCACCTATTAGTGCCCATCAGTGCTGCCAGTCAGTGCCACCTATCAGTGCCACTTCATTAGTGCTGCCTATCAGTGCTCCCTATCAGTGCCCATCAGTGCTGCCTATCAGTGCCCATCAGTGCCACCTATCGGTGTCCTTCAGTGCTGCCTCATCAACGCACATCAGTGAAGGAGAAAAATTACCTGTTTGAAAACTTTTATAATAGAAACAAAGAAACTTTTTTTTTTCACATTTTTTGCACTTTTTTTGTTTATAGCGCAAAAAGTAAAGTGCCCAGCAGCGATTAATTACCACCAAAAGAAAGCTCTATTTGTGAGAAAAAAATGATAAAAATTTCATATGGGTACAATCTTGCATGACCACGCAATTGTCAATCAAAGTGCGACAGCGCTGAAAGCTGAAAATTGGCCTGGTAAAGAAGGGGGTGTAAGTTCCCAGTAGGCAAGTGGGCTGTATTCACACTAGCCACACAGTAAACTGTTTACCATGCAGGCTGGTGCAATACTGGCAGAGAGCAGTGCAATGAGCATTTCAGCGCATAACCCTGCTTGTTTCTTTTTCTTTTTTCCTTCAGCATCATTTTGAAGTGTCACAGAGTGACACTTCATTCATGTCACTGCACAGCAGCTCGGTGCATTGCTCCGCTGTGCGGGGACATGCGGTGCCATCCACTGCAGTGTGGAAAAATGCAGACATGCTGCATTTTTTCACACTGGACTGCACTACATATAACACCAGTGTTGTATTGTGAACAGGGTACATAGAAAACAACGGTTTCTATGTGCTCTCGCAATGACCTGCATTTATCCAGCACAGTAAACCGCTGGTCACTGCAAATGGTATAAACAAGCCCTATAAAAAATGACTTTAAAAATGACTTTAACATGTTAAATCTGATATGAGACTTTAGCAATTGAGTTTACATCTACTTTAAGAATAGTTTTCAAATAATTAGGCTATTGTCTGATTTTGCACCCTTGGCATACATCAAAAGCACACGGTTCGCATTCATGAACTTAAAAATCACATTTAAAAAATGAACAGACTGGCATAGAGGCACTCGGCTACGTATGGCATTATATTCATTTTGATATATTATACATGGGTAAAAATGCAAATGGAAAACAACACACTGCAGAATTCTCAGATAATCTGCGTAATGTGAATCGTGTCTGTAGTCTACTTGGATCCAACAACTTTTCTTGTTCCGCCATCCAAGTGAAAAAGTCTGTTTCAAGGCTGTTTTGGCTTCGCTGGCTGCCAAAAGCAACATGCTGCGTTTACCACCTACGGGCACCAAAGACCCGTCATTAATGGCGTTTTATTAAAGAGTAGCTTGCTATCGTTTAAAGCACTTTCTTTTGTTTGTGTATAAATGTGGTAGTTTGGATTGCTAGATGAGGCCTTCTGTATCACCCTTTAATCAGATTCGTCAATGCCTGTCCTGGGGTTTAAACATTTGTTCAAAGCAGAGCCCTGGCAATTAAGAGCTGTAATTCTTGTTTATTTTTTTTTTATTTGTATTTTTTTTTTTTAATATTTCGAAGGATGTGCCCTACTGTGCTGGGTATTCGAGTCACCCTCCCTGTCAGGACGATTCTCACTAGTATTATGGCACCATGGAAAGGAGCTAATTGGATTTGTTGTCACCTCCTGAAGCTGCCAGGAGCTCACGTCTGGTTTGGTTACAGATAAAGACATCACGGTGACAGGCTTAGGGATGGCTCAGCTGGCATTCTAGGGCCACTAATAAAGCCATGTTGATTTAATGTCCGAGTGGAGAGGTGTGGGCAAGCTGTTCCAGTTTTCCATTCCAAACAAAGCAGGGAGGTGCCATGGGGGACTTTGTGGATCAGTAAATAAAGTTCTGTGACTTGAACCTTCACTAACAGGATCCGGAACAATGTCCCACAATGCCCAGTTTGCAGCAAGACCCATTTCCTATGCTACAAGAAATTGGCATTGAATGAGAATAAAAGTATATGTAAAAATCAATAAAACCTCATATTAGTTTTTAAAGTGTATTAAAAATGTGTGTACCTAAAATCTATTTTTCACTATGTTTAGCATTATGTTTCACTTTCTTAAGCAAATAATTGTTTTTTTTAATCTATTGTTAAGTTTCTTACCTGGAGGTGCTGCCAGTAACAGCGCTTTCACAGGATGACAACGCTAAGCCATTGCCTCCCAATTGGCAGCAGCATTGTCAGCTTGTTGTGTGTTCACCACAGGCTGCCTATAAAGTTTATGAGATAGCTAGCCCTACGGCCCACTGAAGGAACACATATGGTAGGCTGACAATGCTGCCGCTAATTTCAAGGCAGTGGCTTAGTGTTGTCAGCTTTCAACAGGAAGTTGCATGAGAATGACAATAATTGGTTTGCTGAAAGCGGAATTTCACCCTTAACCTCCCTGGCGGTATTCCCGAGTGTAGCTCGGGGGAAAGTTTCAGTACCACAAGCGGTAACCCCGAGCTACACTCGGGCTCACCATGAGGCGCTGCTCTGGGATATGTTCTTCCCCTTACCTTGTCCTGCGCTCCCGCGATGTCCCTCCTGCAGTGTCCCTGGCAATGTCCTCAGGCCAATGCCGGCATCTGTCATCTGAGTTCCATCCCCTGCGAGCGTCGGGACGTACGGGGGACGGAACGGCGGGAAATTTGAAAATGACAAACAGTGACATTCACTAAATACACTAAAATCACATAGTATAACATTACTGTATCAAACCATTTCACATACATTTTGTCCCGAGTGCTTTGTCCTGTGCCCTGCCTGCATTTTTACTGTTCTTTCTGCCTGGAAACTGAGAAATGTCCATGGTGTCCAAAAAGCGTCCCTTTAGGTCAAAATCGGTTTTAGACCGGCTAGAGAACAGTGATAGTAAATCAGAACCACTTGCAGAATTGAGTGATAATGATTCGTGGGGGAAATTTGTCATCAGACACTGAAAACGATTTTGCAACTTTGCTCAGTAATGTGCGAACTTGGCGCTATATTTACCAGTGTTTTTGGTTTGATTATATTATTGAATTAAATTTATTATATTATTATTTTTTATGATTTATTAAATTATAATTTATGATTTCATGTTTAAAATTTATCCTACCCGGGATGTTTACTAGACTCTTGTTCGGACAGATTTCAGTGAGTTATTCCTAACAATTACAGGCCTACAATAAAAAAAATACATATTTCCATGCAAAAAAATGTACCGCTTTGAGCACAAAAATATGGACATAATCAGACCGCTAGGGAGGTTAAAGGGAAGTTCCACTTTTCTGCCTCCTCCCTCCATCCTGTTTGACTTTTGCCCAATTTTTTTGTGTGTGTGTGGGTGGTGGGGGGGGGGGGGGGTGGGCAGTGCCTGATCTTGATAGGTAACTGCTGCCACTTCCTCTTGGAGTGTCCAGGTGATCTGAGTGCAAGTTCATCCCCCCCTTCCCCCTTGGGACACGTCACAGATCCCAGAAGGCTACAGGATCATTCACAGGGTGTGGTGCACACACTTACAGTGGGGAGCCAGCTGTGAAGTCTCAGGGTGTCAGAGTTAGCATGGTGGTGCCAGAGACCCGAAGACTGGTGTAGGACCGGCCTGGGTAAGGATAGCAATGTGTTAGCAGCTATAGCATTTGTAGCTGCTGGATTTTAATTTTCTTTTTTTGGGGGGGGGGGGGGGGGAATGAAGAACCTCTTCAACCGCTTCCCGTATGCCCTATAGCAGAAGTACTGCTACAGGGTGGCACGGATGTGCAAAATCATGTATATATACATGATTTTGCATTTCCGGGTAGGGTTTTGGTTTTCTATTGTATAGTTAGCTAGTAAAGCACTAACTACAGTAACACATGCTGCTGTAAATGCCATGGAGGTGTTCGTGGTGCATTTGCAGCACAATGACATCAATGGAAGCTGTTGGGAAGTGGTAAAGCTTGGCAGACAGCACGTTGGGTAAATTTTGATGCAACCATGTGAAAAACGCTGGGTGCTATATTGCACACAGTTTTGACAGGTGTTCATAGCAGCATAGACAGGATATTGGCAGCATAATGGTGGAAATATTGAGGCAGATCTATGAACACTAGTGACAGCTCTTTGCACCACACAGGCCCCAGATGATACAAGAAACCAGTGTGTGATACAACCTACCAGCATCCACACAAAACTGAAAAATTGATACAGTATATTGTATTTTGAGTCTTAAAAATCCAATTCCAGCTAACGAAATTTCCCTGCAAAAGTTAAAACAAAAGAAAACCAACTTTGGCTGCAATACACTCTCTGTTTCCGGAGCTACCCTCCACAGACTCACCGATCTGTTCTCCAGTGCGGTCCTGATTAAATGACACCAATCATCAAGAGAAAGATGTAAATACTCGAGGACATTGGTGACCACTAAGACTGGAGAAGTGGAAGCATCCAGGAAATATATTGACAAGTACACAGTTGTCACTTTTCAAGTCATCACAAAGAGATTCTGTGTACATGTTTTGTGCCATGCTGACCATGTAATAGAATGTATTGGTTTAAACTGTACTGCCTTTTTAGTATGTATTATTGAATAAATATAAAATATTTTTAACATACTATACCTCTGTGAGATACATAGCTGGAAGGCAGAATAAAAGTCTATTTTTTTAAAGAGCATTCCTTGTCTAATAAAGTGCGTGTTGTTTTTGTCAGTGTCTCTGTTAGAGAGATGCCCCCTCACTTCCTGCCTTTACCAGAATTGAGAAGAGAACTCCCCAAAAGGGACTCGGGCAACAGTAAAAACTGACCTAGGCTTTAGCCCAGCCTTTCTTTACCAGGGTTCAGTGGAACCCTAGGGTTCCTATAGAAGTTGCTTGGGCTCCTTAA